TTTTGTTTTTGCACCAGATGAGAATCAGTTCCTTGAGAATAAATTTTTTTTATATTTCTAAACTTCAGAAAGTTAAAATTTGGGAAATCTCTTAGACAAATAAGTGTTTTATGTGGCTGTAAAAAATGATGTACACGCTGTAAAATAAGATTGTCACTGTTCTGTGGGATTATTATTTCTAAATGTGTTACTCATCGTAACGGGCATACAATAAAATGCATCTCTTGCACTCCAGATTTTTTGGAGTTTCCTTTTTATTTTTGGTGTTTAGGAAAGTGCCATTCTCTGTAAATTTGTCTGATATTTTTCATTGCATTATTCACTAATTAATATATAATCACATTTCAAGTAAACAGGTTACTACAGGTCTATTTATCAGACTGTTGAGGAGAGAACATTGGGTTTGATTTAATCCTTTAGACTCACAGGTAATGTATTTATGTCTGTTTTGCTTATTTCTAAAATAATTATCAAATCTGATACTGACATTGCTTTGAATTTTTTTTTCCTTTAAGAGAACAAAAAGCTTCTCACATATTTTAGGAAAACCCAGGTAGGTTTTTGTCTTTTTACCTGTGTAATAACAGCTTGCTGAATGAAATGCTAAAAACACTGCTATCCTAAATTCCCTCTCTTTTTAGAATATTTGAATTGCAACATCAATAGCAGATTAAAAAGCTGAAGAAGAACATGTGCTATTAAATGAACCCTTCATCAAGGATTTCCAATGGGCTTTGAGCCACTGAACTCAGGTTTTGCACAAAGAGCAAAAATAAAGCAGACAGGAATTAATTCATCTGGATTTTGTTGATGCTTTTCCTTGCATGCCCAGCAGCCAGAAGGAAAAAAATCTTAGTGATTTAAGTCTGTGGATTTCTGACAATATCAGTGTTTTGTTCCTGAATGTTGCATTGAATACATGGACTGAAGGAGTTTCTTCACCTGAAGATGATCCCTGACTCTGCCCATGGCTTTGCTGGCTCATTTTTCCACCTTACAGATGGACCAAATAATCAGGTAATTAATTAATTGCTCTGTATCAAAGCAGGAGGTAGGTTGCTGTTCTTGAGGTAAAATTTTACTAGGAAGTTATGTTTTAAATCTTCTGAAATGGAAGGATGAAATGCCACCTGAGTCCTCAGCAGTTTGAGGGACAGTTCCCAAATCCTTCTCAGTGCCCTCTCCCAGTAAATATTTGAGAGCTGTGACAGGTCAGGGGTGCTTGAGCAAGCAGAGCCTCACAAAGGTGTGCAGAGCTTGCTCTGAAATGTCAGATCTGTTTGGTCTGTTCTTATTGGGCTGACAGGTGCAGTTAAAAGTGATTCACATCCTGATCATCAGCTATGTTTTTCTTTCTTCAGGTTTCAGCTGCCCACAATTAAAGGCAATAAATCAGAGAGAAAACACGGAAGAGCTGCAGCAGAACTCTGGAGGTAAAGGTGAGATACTGGGTGTGGGCTGGTGGCTGCTGGAGTTGTCAGGGTCTTCCCAGCCAGGGCTCTCTGGCTTTTATTCTACAGCTGAGGCAGAGAAGCTTCAATACTGCAGAAAGGTCAGTCAGAACAAAGACAGTTTTCTCCTTTTCAGTGCAAAGCAAGATTCTGCATTCTGGCAGATAAATACAGGGCAGAATGTATGTTGTTGTAATTATATGAAGTAAATACCATCTGATTTTTTTCTAATTTGTTCCTAGAAAAAATGTAGAGGTCTTGGTGAACCTCTTGAGGTGGGAAATGAGCTAAAGTAAAATCTTCTAACCAGCATTTACAGAGCTGAGTAAATGAGAAAATGTTTTTTTGTTAACTCCAGCAGAAACCACGTTAGGTAAATCAGTTCCACAGTAAAGAGGGGACAACTGAGCTCACAGTAACAGGTACTTCATAGTAAAAAATACTAAATTTGCTTTTTAAATACATACAATTTGAAAACAAAACCAGCCTAGAAATAAATGGCCACGTGCTTCATCTACTAGTCCTATCCAACTTTCTGACAATTGGTTTGTGTTTTCTGTGAATACAAAGTGCAGTTACAGCCTCTGCTCTGTAGCATTTACAGGGTCTGGTGACCTTCAGCTTCCTTGAGGAGCTGTCCTTGTCCCCAGGACAGAGAGCTGGCTGGCCTGAGCAGCAACCTGGGCTCTTTGTAAGCAGGCTGCAGCTTTCCTGGCTGCCCCAGGATGGTGTTTCCACTGGGATGGATCAGCTGGATTTGAAAGAGCATTTGCCTGATGGTGGCCTTTGCCATGGAATTGTCTCACCACGCCCAGCAGCTCCCGGTCTGAGCCCTGTCCCTCCTTAAGGAGTTCCCTGTGCTGTGCCAGGGAGTGGAGAAAACACAGGTTGGTGTCACTGAGGGGCTGCTCAGGAAATCCATGGCTGGGATGAGCCATCAGGAGCTGTGGCCATTACTAACGCCCATTTCTGCTCTTTGTAGCCTCGTCTGAGCTGTGGGAAACCCCCAGCCCTGGTGGGAGCACAAGGAGCACCTGCACAGGTAAGTGCTGGCATTGAACAGACATGGTGCTGTTAGTCCTTTTGGTGTTTAAGATCACCAAAGGTGAAAAGTCTTTTGCTGACAGTGTAACTAAAATTATTTATTGCACTGCCACTGTCCCATGGCAGGAGCATGTTAGCTCTGAGTGCAGATGTACCTTTTATTCACTGCTTTGCAGAAAAGGGGGCTGCTTTAGAATCTGTTTTAGAATAATTACTGAATGCAGAGGGACAAGGCCCTCTGCCTTCAAATGAGGGTATTTAATTAATTGAAGGCAGGCTGAAGTAGAGGGAACCAGGCTCATGAAACTGCAGGCCCCTCTCAGCCTGAACACACTCAAAGATCTGCAGCAGGAACAGGTTTTACTTGTAGCTCTTTGCCCAGTCCTGAAGAGCACAAGGTCAGCTGGGCATCCAGCATCACCTGAGGGAGTTCTGGCAGCAGCAGCCAGAAAAAGGAGCCAGCCCCAATCCTTCACTTGTAAAGATTCATGGAGAGGAACAAGACACCACCTACACCCCCTCCACAGCTGTACACAAATTGTTTCCAGGACAGACAGACAGACAGTGATCCAGAGAGTTGGACTTGGGTTTATTTCATGGTTACAGGTAGCCTCCAGCATTCTTTCCCCATTAAACATTGCCCAGGGTCTATAGTATCTGGGACCAGAAATACATGGCTGCAGCAGGAAAGCAAAGCAAGAACCCCACCATAAAAGAGCACCTTTGGATTGCAGCATTGCAAATTTTCCCTGTGAGTCTCTGTGCTGTGTTGCTCAGACAACTACTGAATCATGAACACCAAATCAGTTTGAAAGAATTTGTGGTCCTTCAAGGAGTGGAAATTGTAAATGGCAGGTTGCTCTGATAAGAAAATTAGTCCGTGACTTACTTTCACACAAAATTATTCTATATAAAAATATACCAAGTTCTTGAAAATTTAAAGCACAGCAAAAAAATACAGCTGGTTTGGGGCTGAAAATACATAAACTCTGAGGTCAGAAGCATTCTCTAAAATGAGCCTTGGCCCAGCCCTTCAGTGAACTGGGTCCTGCTGGCATTTGCCAGGTCAGAAGCTGGGTTTGATGCAAGTTTTGTCCTTTGTGTCCGAGCTTCCCAGACAGAGGCAGGTGCAAGGTAAGGAGCAGTTTCCAGTGAGGTATTTTTGAAGTTCCCATGCAGCTCGTGACTCTGCACTGAAAGCAGCTGTGGGAGGGGTGGGACTGACATCAGGGTCATTCCCACTCTCAGCATGAAGAGACAGAACATGGCTACAAGGATGAAAAGGTTTCAGGTGTCCTCTTTTTGTCTCCTAGATTTCCTCAGGACTGGCTGAAGAACAGGAGTTAGTCAAGAACAGCTGAAGTCCAGAGGGATAGCATCCCACTCTTCCAAGGGAAAAGTGAGTCCTTAATGTTTTCCCAGCCTTCCTCACTATCAGACTGAACCTTTTCTTGGATGCAGAAGAGCAGAAAGTAAAGCAGTTTTAGTGGTTTGTGAACTCCTTGGAGCAGCTCTGAGGGCTCAGAGGTATCTCTCATTCCTAAAAGAAACAAGCAGCTTGTTAGAAGAAATACACAAACCTGTTTCTGTTATGAAACAGAACTAGCTGCTATAAAGCATCTCATTAATTACCTACTTGTTCTCTCTTGTACAGTGTCCAAGGGGACCAGTGAGCCTTTCCTCTGTACTAAACACTTTACTTTTTCATTTATTGATGTTTCCTTGCTTGACATTTCACTAGGTTGCAATGCACCTGGGTGAAATTTAGGGATCAGTACTATGCATATAGCAAAACTCTGCTCTTTGCCAGTGCTCTGAGTTTTTTGCTTTTTTAATCCTGCCGCAGGCAAGGTCCCCTTGAGGGTCATGCCAGGTGTGTTACCTGCATCTGCTCAGGCTGTCACAGAACTGTCCCCTGGCTGTGTCCCCCCGTGGTTGTGTCCAGGTGCTGCTGTGACCTGCAGCCACCACCCCCCCTGCTTGGCCACCCTGCCATTATCTTGTAGCCAGGCTTGGCACCACGAGCCCTGCCTAAAACAGAAATAGCTTCTGCAGCCCTGTTTTCTATTTTTACTCTGAATCACTCCTTAAAATGTCAGCACTCTTCTGCATTCCTGGGCTTGTCACTGCCCTGGCTCAGGGTAAGTTTCAGGGATGTGGTGCTTTGTATGTTTTAGTGATGGCTTGGAGTCATTAGCGCTCCTAATGCGGAGGAGGGGCACAGCCCTCCCAAATCCCTCCTGACCTGAGAGCACAGCAGGACACAGTCCCTGCCTACCTGCCCAGTACAGCAACACCCCGGGGCCGGTGTTAGAGCAGCGCTGATGCTTTTGTTCAGGGTAATTACGTGCCCGAGAAAACAACAAAAGGTTTTATTTGTACCACACCCACCAATTACTGCCTGCTCTTAGAGCTAGGACAGTTTGCTTTTTGCAGTTCAATTACCACAGGGCATCCCTGAGCTCTCAGTTTGGGTAATACTTGCTTTGAAGTTAAATTGAACACTTAGGATTGCAGAGGGAACAGTCCATCTCCAGGTACACTTACGTGTTTCCAGATCTCTCCAGTCCTCTCAATGACAATGGTTTGTGATTTATTGACAGGTGATGTGACCTTGTAGTCATCAGACAGCAGACCCAGAATAGGATACTGATTCCTGTACCTGTAGAGAGTTGAACAGGTTGCTAAACAGAGCCTAAGCAAAGGAAAGCCCAAAGAATGTGTTTTTAAAAAAGATGAGTAAGACATTACTTTTTAGTGATGATGGCTGTCACCCCAGGGGACTGGCTGCCTGATAACTTCTCATGCTTCAGTCTGAAGAGCTCCTGACAAAACCAAAAGCAAACATTGATGTGAAGTCATGTTTTCTGAAGTATCAGTTCACTAAAGCCACAACAAAATATTTGCAGAAATTTGTCTCAACAGTCTGAAAATCTGCCCTTTCAGAAGGCTGGCAGAGGAACAGCATTCATTTAGAACAAATCCTAACCCCCTTTCCTGAGCTAGGAGAGGACAAAGGACTTCCTGGTAAGGTTCCACCTACACAGTACATGGAGGCTTAAACACCAAAATGCTTAGAAAAGAAATAACTTGTATTATTTTACCTCTTGCTGTTGTTTAATAAAAGCCTCTTTGTCCTCCAGCAGCGATGTCAGTTCATGCAGCCTCATTTGCAAGTCACTGTTGCTCCCCTCTCTCCTGGTTATGTCCTGCTGGAACTGGCACAGCTGGGTCTGCAGAACAAGGCAGGAGCTCTCAGGTGTGGGTCTGGGCCCCTCAGCACCCACCCAGGGCTCCAGGGGTGGCATTTCATTAACACCATCAACAGTGAGACCCAGGGATTTTCAGATCAGGACGCTGAGCCACACAGTAAATTCAGAAAGTGCTAATTGGACTGAATTTTACCGAGTATTAATTCAATAATTTTATAATTCTCACACTAAATCAACACTGAACCAGTTGAATTGGCTTCCAGGGTTGGAGACTTTTGCCACTGCTTTCCATGAGAGACATCTCCTAAATACAGCTGTGGCTGGGATTTATTTTTGTTTCCTATTAAGCATATTTTGACTAATTACTTATATTATCAAGACACACAAAAGACAGCCTACTAATCAGGTTGATCCCTAATTTCTTCATGTAAAGAATGGCTGGGTTTTTTTTTAAAATCACAGTTTTATGTTCTACTGTAAAAGTTTTAAACCATCAGCGGTGTCTATGAGTAAAGTAATTGCACAAGCAGAAGACACCCAGAAAGTGCCTGTGGTAGATGTCTGCTGCTGTGAGTGCAGGAGCAGCTGTCCCTGCACACAGCCAGCAGAGCCCCTTACCCTGAGGCTGCGGATCTCCCTGTCCTTGTCCTCCCTCAGGCTGTTGATCATCTCCACGTAGCGGCTGGAGAGCTCGTCCGTCGTGGTCTGCAGGGTCGGGCTGGAGCAGCTCTGCAGCAAAGAACCCAGTTTTATTTACAGAGTTTTCATTGTTAGTTTTCCTACACTGATCCCTCCGAGTCTGGGACTCAGCTACTGCACCCAGCCAGGTGAGCCCTCACCTGCAGCTTGAGGCTCTGGATCTCCTGCTCCAGGGCCCTCTTGCTGTACTCCAGCTCCTTCAGCTGGCAGTCCTTGTTGCCCTCGCTGAGCCGCAGGGACAGGAGCTGTTCCTCCAGGGAGCGGCATCTGGCAGTGCTGTCCCTGAGCCCTTGCTGGAAAGCACAGGGAATGAGCACATGGAATTCCTCAGGACAGGAACAGCATCACACACACAACGGGCAGCAGTTACTCAGAGTACCCACAAGTCAGCAAATTGCCCCCATGTTGGTTGCCTGGAATGACACTGGAAATGTTTCTTGATTCACCTGCTGCTGACGATTGTTCTCCCTCAGAGAGGCCAGCATTGTTTCATACTCTTTCACTTGGGAATCCTTAAAAGCCAAATCCTTCTTCAGCAAGACATTGTCGGTTTCCAGCTTCTGCAGGACAAAAGTCAAAAGTTTAAAGTCAAAAGCTGAAAGTTTTCAGTAAATTCTTCCCATAAAGCGCAACATAGTCATTAATATAGGGACGTTTTAGAAGTGAGAAGATGCTCAACTTTCTTGAAAGTCTGGGGTTTAGGCACATAGCAGTGTGGCTTTGTGTTGGGTGGTGAGCACTGGGATCCTGGTCACTGCCCTTCCAGTCTGCCGCAGAAACAATTTAAATAGAAGCCAACAAAAAACCCTAAATAAACACCATCCCAAAACTAAGCCCACTGCACACACTCCTTGCTCTGTGCTCAAGTTCAAACTCTTCTCCCCGAACTTTGCATTTTCCAGGACAATGCTGTGACATTCCTACAGGGCTGGGATGGCTGAAGGCCAGAGAACCCGTGGAGCTGCCAAAGCCACCCGTGTCCATCCCGCCCCCTGAGGCACTGACAGAGCAGCCACTGGCACAGCCTGGAATGCCAGCCCTGGACTCCTGCTGCCAGCTGGGAGCAGCTGGATGAGGAGCAGGACTCACCCCCAGGTCATCCTGCAAATGGCAGAGCTCCTCCCGCAGGTTCTTGAAGGTGGAGAGCACCAGTCTCAGGGATCTGTCCGATGTCGCTCTCATCTGGGAGGGGAGAAATGAAAAGGATAATTGGGATTAATTAGGCAGCTTTGTTTACAGTATGCTTGACCAGAGGTAGAACAGAAACTGCTTTACAGGTGACAGTAATTTCTAAAACCATTGCACATCCTTTGAAGTGCCCACAGTTTCTACAGGAAACGTTTCCACTGCACTTTGTTCTGCAAATGCCAGTGTTCCATTTCTGCCTTGTAACAAAGGACAACGTTGTTAAAATGGAAGGAACAACAGGGTAAGGAACTGCCTTTGTACACCAATAAAGGAAAAAATAAATGTGTTAATATTGTACAATTATTATTGGAGCTTTAAAAGCTTTGTGCTTACATTGATTTTTAAAAATTACTGCCCTGCCTGAAAAGGCACAGAGGAATGAGTCATGTTTGAGATCTGGCAAAGCTTTGGGCTCAAAGATGAGTGAATTTAATTAACATTTTTAAAAATTCAAATTAAAAAAGCTCATACAGCCAACTCCTCCCTTTAAAAGGAAAAAGATCCCAAAGATGAAAGGAGTCACCTGGATGAAAGAGAAAACTATTAAGTGACCACAGCCCAACACTGTTCTCCTTTGGAATGTTAATTTTAATGCCTTTAATAGCTGTGTATTGATTCAGGTGAAAATATAAATTGTTGCATTTCATGATACATTTATAACATTTAAAAGAAGAAAAATAGACTTTGAAAGGACACACAAATTAACTCCTCAAGTTGTAACACTCTTGGAAGGGCTGAATATTCTGTGCAAAACTGTGGTTTTTTTCCTGTCCAGATAAAAGTGAAACTCCCCTGTGTGTTCCCTTAATTTGGAGATCTTATGCCTTCTATCCCTATGGGGATTGGCCCTTGCCCAGTATTTTTATCCCCAGTGGTGCCATGGTGTGACTGAGACTTCATTCCTAGAGCAACTCACCTTTTTTTGTTTTGTAATTAAAGTGGAATTTCACTTTTGCCTTATGGTTTTTCTGGTTTTATTGTGTAATACACTATAGGGTAGTTTGAAAGAAGGAATTGAGTTGAATGGTGAAATTTAAACTATAAAAATGTAAGTAAAACCACACTCAGCAATTGCTCAGTGCTAGAGGTTGCTAAATCCCAGAGGTGCCATGTGCTCCTCCAGTGGAATTCTCTGTGTCCTTGGAGGAGCCTCTGGGCATTCCCAGCTCGGATCCTGGGCTGTGCAAACCCTTCCCTGCCAGCTCTGTCCTGGTGGCCAAGGGCTCTGAGAGCACCTGGGTGCACCCTGACAACACCTGCTTCCCCAAAAGCCATTCTGGCTGCATTTTACAGTCACAGCTGGGAGGATGTAAAACCAGCTGGACACAGAGACAACAGGAAATGCCTGTTCAGCTTTTTCACCTGGAGCTGAACCTGCCTCCCAGGACAGTGTGCAGCCATGGAATGGCCTCATGCTGGCTGGAATGTCCATGGGGTTGATGTCCATCTTCCTTGTCAGAGAAGCACAAAATAATTCCAGTTGGAGGGGATGGGGGAGGTCAGAGCAGGGCAGCTGCAAACTCAGACCAGGCTGCTCCTTCTCAGCTTCATTTCAATGCATTTTTTTTTAACCAGGAAGCAATTCCAAGGTGCAGCTCCCAGGTAGGATCACCCTGCCCCTACCTGAGGGAGCCCAGATCAGGACACTCCTGCTGAGGCTGCCCTGACACACCTGCCTGGCAAAGGCAGCTCTGAGTGCTGAGCTGTGCTTTTGGCATCCAGCAGCAAACGCAACCATTCCTGTTGTGGTTCAGGTGTAAAGGGTTTTGTCCTCCTGGGCTGGTTCTTCAGCTCCCTCCCTCCCTCCTCCATGCCCAGCCACAGGGTTGGGCTGGGGGCAGGTGGGATTCAGGCCCTGCTTCTGGGTTTTTAGCACCTCCTATTTGTGTATGGTTTTTAAAGCCTTGATGCACAACACAGAAAGATGAAAGGTCTCTGTTCTCCTGTCAGTGCTCAAAAGCCAAGACAGTTTCCAGTGAAACTGCAGGAAAACCCCAGCAGAACTCAGTTTAGAATACACAACTGGACTGTGGGTCCATGTGACACTTCCTTTGAAGCCACCATTCCAGCCCCCTCACTCTAGAAACACTGGGATGAGGGAATACAGAGTGAAGGTGCCATGTACCAAGTCCCTCTCCTGTGTGTGAGCCAGCTCCCACAGGCTGCCAAGCTCCCTTACCTGCAGGAGATAACGAATCTGCTGCTTTGTTGCCTCAGACAGTCCTTTGGGAATTAATTCTTCAATATCTTCAGTCTAAGCAAAGAAGGGAGGAAAGGGGAGACATCTTGATTAAGAATTTTGCCTGGTAGATTAGTAATGTGGTTTCTTCATTAATTACATAGCTCTGCTATGAAAAACATCCTTAGTACAAGGCAAATAAGAACAAAAATAGATCAAAGTCTATCTAGAAAACTTCTGAAGTCTTTTATATGTGGGACATGTACAAAGTGAGATAAAGTGGTACATGAAGCATATATTCAAATCCTTAAATTCAACATTTAAAAGGAGTATTTAAACCAATCCTCTCTCAGGGATTAACAGCTGATGCTACAACTCAGTTTATGGTGGGGCAAAACCTCGTGTTTTTGAGTGGGCTGCCAGTAAACCCCAGATGACCACCAGGAGATGCTGCCAGGGTTCAGTGGCATTTGCTTCCTGCAGGTGAACCCTGGACAGGTATTTCTGCCCCATTCACACTGAATGCCTTCAAAGGTGCAGCACCTGCTGCTCAGCAGCAGCTTCACTGGCCAGGGAGTGAAAGAGCCTTTGCAAAAAACACGTTGTAAAAATACAGGTACCTGTGCAAGTCATTTTCCAGTGAAACCATTATTGGAACAGCAGGAGAGACTTCCAAAATGTGACTCTCATACTGGAATAATCCAATTTTTGAAGTTTCCTTTCAGTATTATCACATTTGCAAATGCCTGCCTGGCAGCAGATTTCGGGCTCTGAATGTTTTTACAAGCAGGAAGCATTAACTAACAAAGACCAACCTCCTTCATTTCAACTGCTTTGGCTTTATTTGCTTGAACCCTTCCCCAGAGGTATCAGGGCACAGCCTGAGCCTTACCTGGCACGTGAATTCAATGTCGTGGTTCCTGTAAAACACAAAAAGCTGTTTGAGAACTTCCAGGACTCAGGCATATTCGCCACTAAAAGATTATCTGGACAATACAGAGCAAGGATCTTTCTCAGCTGAAGAGTCATTACCTTCCCCCTGTGGAGGAACTCCTGGGGAGAGTGGAGTCCTACAGCAACACGGCAAACACAGGCTGACTATCCCCAGTCCTTTGGGCACTTATCCCCAATTATGGGCAGTTAACCCAATTACTCCCTTAATTACCTGGGTAATGTTTCGCCCACAACTCTGCTGCAATTCCCTGCCCTGCCCCAAGTGTTGATTTGGCATTCTCAGGGTTTCTGTGATGGTTCAATTCCTTTTTTCCTCTACTACAGGACCACTTTCCTTACTCGGTGACCTTGGAAGGCACCAGACAAGATGGGGAGTGAGGGGGAAGAATGAGGGTGATGGGAGGGAAGGGGGGAAGGTTTTGCACGGCACTGCCTGCTGTGACTCTAATTTCTTTCCACAGATAGAATGCAGGGCTCTGCAGAAAAGATGCTTAATGTTCATTTGGATGTAGAGACTGAGCTTTATGCCTTTAATCCATGACACAACATCACAACAGCACTGGGGAAATTAGGATGTTTGGGTTGTTTTTTCAGGACACAGCAATAGAATTGTGTCATGAGATATATGTCAGAGCGTGCTGTAAGCTCTTGTTTGCTCAATGTACAAACACATGTGGGAGACAATTCGTAAGCATCACAGTCAATAAATTTCCTTGGCTTACAGCATTTCTATGTCCTCAGTTATTTGCAAATCAGATGAATTTGCAAAACATCCAGACAATTCCAACTGTCCGGAAGAAACAACCAACTCACAAACAACACTGTCCCTGTCAGCTGTGCAGTGCTGGTATCTGGGACATGGCAATGGCAGATCCAGTGGCAATACCTTGTCCCAATCTTCTCCACGTGCTGCAGCAGGCAGCTGTACAGGTCATTGCTCTTGCGGTGCAGCTCGGCCAGCAGCTCCCCGAAGAAGCGACAGTCCAGCTGCTCGGGGCTGTCCTGGGGGCAGCTCACCTGCCAGGAGACAGGCAGGGCATCAGAACAGGATCCCTTCTTTGGGGTGAAAGCTGAACATGAAAATGCTACAGGTAGGATTTGGGTCTGGCTGCTCTTAGCAGTTTTCAATTATTGATGCTTTTCTTAATAGTGAGTCTTCCATGTCTGCTGGTTTTCAATAAACTGTACAGAGAGGAATGACTTCCTTTAGAACAACAAGAACCAGGCCAAGTCCAGCTTCCACAGCAGTGTCCTCAGCCCAAGCTCAGTGTGCTGAGCTGGCTGATGGGAGTGTCCAGCTCTGGAAGGTTCTGCACAGGTCTGACACCAAGGTCCCCAGGGTGTTTATCACCCAAAGACCAACTGGGTGCACAGGAGGGACCTGCTGCACTCCCTCCCCAGCTGCACTAACAGGCTGCAGGTACACCAGGAAGCTCCTTTAGTGCTTTCACTGAATTTGTGTCAACAACTTTTGCATCAAATTGTAATACATTTCAGCCCTGGCTGATCAGCATATGAGGGAAGGAACCCTGAGCTGATGTTATAAAGCAGTATTTGTGTCCTCCCAAAGCAGAGGCTGTGAAATCTCTTAGTCTTTGTGTACAGACTGACAAGTGAAACCCAGCTGAATCGATGGGTAAAGAAAAGCAAAACCAAACAGCCCCGTGAGACTGAGCCCAGTTAAACACCACGGGCTCATCTCAGTCAGTGCACACCTGAGCACAGGTCTGTGACAACAAGAAATACAACTCTCAAACAGCCTTCCCCCTCCAACAGCACGTGAGAAAGCCTCAGACAGTCCCAGACAGACCCACAGACCCATGTGCAGAGCCATGACCCCGCTCCTTCCCGCAGTTCTGTCCCTGCCTAAGAACAAACCGAGAACAAGCAGCGGAGCTCTCACCAGCTCGGGGGGCGCCGTGCCCCTCCTCACGGGGTGTCCCCGGCACTCGTCGCTCCCCGGGCCCGGGCACAGCTCGCAGGGACTGCCCGTCTGTGTCTGCTGGCACTGCTGCGTGACCGGGAGCGGCGGGCACTGCTGGCACGGCTCCGGCGGGCACACCTGGAACTGCCGCTCCTGGCACGGAAAGGACCTGTTAGTGCTGGGCCCTGCAGGGATGGGAAATGCCTGCTGGGGCAGAAAGGGTTAATGCTGGGCCCTGCAGGGATGGGAAATGCCTGCTGGGGCAG